TTATTTTATGGTCTCCACTCTGGCCTCGTCTGTTGGCTTGTGGCCTTTTTAACTGTTCAATTCCAGCAAGTGAGGATCAACGGGGTTCTCTCTGATGTCCTTTTGTCCTCTACCGGTTCCCCTCAGAGCTGCATTCTTTCACCCCTTTTATTCATTTCAAACCATTGTTGCAGCCAGTTCCCACAGCATCACATTTTAAAGTTTGCCAACTCTGTCATCCCGTCCCTTCTCAGCAGTAATGACCCAGACCCTGGGCCTGTGGTCGGGGACTTCACTGAATGGACTGAGACTTTGTAAAGTTAAATGTTTCTAAGACAAAGGAGATGGTTTTTGATTTTAGAAAAGACTCTTGGGTTTCCACTCCTGTGGTCATTAACACTGAACCAATATAAATATCTGGGAACTGTTCTTGATGACAAACTGACCTTTGACCCCTATGTGAACTCACTTTGTAAGAAGAACCACCAGAGAATGTATTTTTATTTATAAACTCTGTGGGTTATATGTTGATTGTATTTTTATGAGAATGTTTTATTGAGTCTTTTAACTTTCACCTTCATCTGTTGGTTTGGACTTTCAATATGCAAAAACAGGAACAAACTCTTGAGGACTGTCAGGATGTGCAGTAAAAACTGCTGACATGGCCCGACAGAACCTCACTGACCCACACAAGGTGAGGTCAGCAAACAAGGCCAGGCTGATTCTGGCAGATCCTGATCATCCACTCCATGGTGAGTTCAGGCTGCTTCCATCTGGACGCAGGTATCTGCTGCCCAGATGTTGGACGAACAGACTGAAAAACTCATTCATCCCTGCAGCGATCAGGCTTCTCAACGAACAATGATCTCTGTGCTGTTACTTTAACGTCTCAATGTCTCGTCGGGATGTTTTATGTTCCTACTGACTGTGAAACAAATTTCTCCTTGGGGATAATAAAGATTCTTGAACTTGAATTGCACTTTAAAATTATTTATCAGACATTCTATTTAAGAGAAATGGATTAAAATTGAAAGTATTGGAAGATAATTCAAATCTTCAAACTGAACATAAACAATGTTGGCACAGACGGGAGCATTTTCAGGACCACGCCTTGTTTAACAAAACTCTGTGTGTTTGTCAGAGGCAGACGGTCGAGTTGATCCCCACCATGAAAAAAGAGGAAAGAAGATGGACTTCGTCTAAGGAAACAAAGTCAGTGCTGTCCCCGAAACGTACTTCTGCTAAAATCTTTTTCTGATTATGTGTTCTGTCTGAATTTAAAATATTAGATTTGGTTTGCACTCCTTGTTTTATCTTTTTTTTTTGCAAAGATTTTTTAAGGATCAAATAGCATTTATTTGTAGTAAAATGTATTGCAATTTTTGTTCGGAATGTCTTTGTAGAATAGAATAGAATAGAATAGAATTCAACTTTATTGTCATTGCACATGTCACAGGTACAAAGCAACGAAATGCAGTTTGCATCTATCCAGAAGTGCTTAGCAAGAAAAATAAATTGGTAGATGTATATAGTACAATATACAGTAAGTTGCTTTGAATATGCTATAGGTATACATATATACAGGTTGTGAGTGTACAGACTATGAACAGGTTATAATATGAAGGGGTATAAACAGCTATATAAAAGAAAAAAAAATATATATATAAGTATGTGAGTACTTATGAACAGTAGATAGTAGATTATGTGTACAGTTTGTACAGTAGTGGGCTAACGGATGAAAGTGCAGGTTGTGGTGTTACAGTCCATGTGCTGTTGTTGTGTGTATGAGAATACAGACCGTTGTTGTTTATTCAGATGTCAGGAGGCAGAGTTCAGGAGTGTGACAGCTGTGGGGAAGAAGCTGTTCCGATACCTGGTGGTTTTAGTCCGGAGGCTCCTGTAGAGCCTCCCAGAGGGCAGGAGGGTGAAGAGTCTGTGTGCTGGGTGGCTGAAGTCTTTTATGATTTTCCCAGCCCTTTTCAGACACCGCTTCCCGTAGATGTCCTTTGTGGCAGGAAGTGGTGCTCCGGTAATGTGTTGGGCGGCTTTCACCACCCTCTGCAGCGCCTTCCGGTCTGAGGCAGAGCAGCTCCCGTACCAGACTGTGACGCAGTTGGTCATCTCAATGGTGCAGCGGTAAAAGTTCACCAGGATGTCTGAGGACAAGTGGTTCTTCCTCAGAGTCCTCAGAAAGAAAAGACGCTGGTGAGCTTTCTTGATCAGTTTGGAACAGCCGGTCGTCCAGGTGAGATCCTCGGAGATGTGGACACCCAGGAACTTGAAGCTGTTCACACGCTCCACCACCGCCCCCTTGATGTAGATGGGTGGATGTGGGCCAGCGTTCCTCCTGAAGTCCACGATGAGCTCCTTAGTCTTCTCGGTGTTGAGCAGCAGGTTGTTGTTGTCACACCACTCAGCCAGACGAACCACCTCCTCCCTATAAGCGGTCTCATCGTTGTCTTTGATGAGGCCGATCACCGTGGTGTCATCTGCAAACTTAATGATGGTATTGGAACCATCAACAGGTTTGCAGTCATGGGTGAAGAGGGAGTATAGGGAGTAGTTATTTGTGTTAAATTGTATTTCTATTGGACTCGTAATGCTCTAATATCTAACTGTCCTTGAACACAGCATAGTTGTGTGAACCTTATTTCGAAGTGGAGGAGAGTTGCTGTGGTTTGATAAGCCCTCAGTGGAAAGTCTTTTCATCAGGAGCTTAAGTCAAACAAAACAAATATTTATCCCAAAAACTGTGAATACTCTTCCGTTTAATCAGAAATAACAACAATTCTTTCCTCAGGTAAACTGTTGCATGAGCACAAATTAAGCAGTTCATTCACCTGGAAAAAGCTCAAGGTGTTGAATTAAAAAAAAAGTGACCTCCTTGTTAATTTAAAAACAAACTGGTCTGAAAAAGCTTAAGTTAGAACGTTATGGACATTAAAACACCCAAACATGGACGCTGGTCGTTTATTTCTCTTCCTTGGTGTTTTTGGTCTTTTGCTTCCTTTTTGGAGACACCCAGATCTGACGCTGAGGTTTCCTGGGACAAATGTTTTTGTTTGTTTACTGAAATTAATCATTTACAAAAAAAAACTGACATTATTGACCAATGTTTTTTTCTGTTTATTACGTTACAAATCATTTGATTTCTATCAGTCGTTCACACCCTGCTGAATGGACTCGGACTCACGAGGCCCCGTTTGCGTTTCGCTTTAACTGGAGAAAGGTGGTAAAAAAAAAAAACCAAGATCTATTGTTGGAGGATGCAAGATCATAAGTCACATGTTCCTAAAATGAATTAACGTGCACAAACATGAAAACAGACACGTCATGGGACCACCATGGTAGAGCAGGCCAGTAATCCTGCAGAGCAGCTGTGTGTATGTGTGGCTTTTCTTTGACTCGTGTGTTTTTGTCTGGTTTGTTCAGAGTACAGTGGAGCCCCCAGTCTGTTCCTTTATCTGCACCCCCCCCCCCCCCCCCCCACCATAACCCATTCCAGAAGAGGAGTGGTCGACATTCTTGGAGATCTTGTTACCCTGTTGGAGGAAAGATCACTGTAGCAGCTCAGTCCTTCAGTTCCTGCTTCAAAATAAAAGCACCAAAAGAATGCACTTTATTTTTAGATGAAAGAAAAAAAAGGTTCCACAAATAAAAAGACAAATTACTCGTGGAAAAACAAATGTTAGCTGTTTTTTTTTTTCCCCCACTACATCATAAATGTATTTAAGATGAAAAAAAATAGTTTGCATTTTGTCAAAAAATACTAATCTTCACATATGACACCACCCCAAACTTTACTTTTTGAAATATGAGATTCAAATATTAAACACTGCGATCATGATTAGTTCACATACTATTGCTCAGACTCTAAAAACAACGTTCATTTGTTTCATCTTTGTGTTTGATTCAAGATGAATTGTAGCTTAACAAAAACGAATAAATATAAAATCCATCCATTTATGATCTTTACCCGCTTCTTCCTTCTCAGGTCGTGGGGGGGTCACTGGTACCCATATCCAGCAGTCACTGTGCGAGAGGCCGGAGACACCCTGGACAGGTCTCCATCCATCACAGGGACACATAGAGACAAACGAGACAGACAACTCTCTCACTCACATCTAGGGACAATTCAGAGTTATCAATCAGCCTAACATGCATGTTTTTGGTCTGTGGGAGGAAATCAGAGTACGCAGGGAATGAATCAGAAATTTTACAGCTTGACTTTCAATTTTCTTACTTTTTTATTAAAACCTGTTCACACTTTAAGTTGAAACACTTTTTTAATTAGAAAATGTCCACCTCTTTATTTTTGTACATGTCATTCAAAGGTACTCATTGAAATGTCATAAACATCAGGAAAAAATAAAATAAAATTGAGTAGGACTTTTATTCTCACTTTAATAGTCAATGCAAAAAATATAAATAAATACATACCAGCAGCCAGCTACCTAATGTTTTGTTTTTCCTATGAAAACAGTTTAAAGTACTAAAAAAGGAGTCAGCAACAGTGATGTCCTTAAAAAGAAGTTTGGGATAAAGACGTTAGACAGCGTTGATGTGTTAAACTCAGATTAAAGATAATTTTTTTTTGTTTACATTCAGTGCATACCTGCACTTCTGAATTGATAATAAACATATCTGGCAAACTACTTCCAAACTGCACTATTTGATTTGATTCAGGATATTTAAAAAAAAAAAGTTTAATTTCATAGTTTGCACTGTGCAGCTCTAAGTTTACCTTTAAGAGTGTTGCTTTGATGATTGTGAGGAGGAGATAACAAAAAGAGTTGCATTGCATGGTTTTAACATGTCAACACTGTGTGCATGACGGTAGTTATTATGTCTCACATCCTGATTTATTAAATATAAAAATATGCATTATGTTTGCAAAATATTTTTTAAAATAGCTATTAATTTACTAACAATTCAGTTAATTAAACTTGGTTTTACTCGTTCCTATTTGTTAGCCATACAGAAACCGGAAGTAGTTTTGTTTTGAAGGCTGTCCCGGAAGTGCGTTTCGTCATCGATTGGCTCGGGCGGTAACGGGGCACATTTCTCAGGAGATTAGAGCAGCAGCTTCGAAAGCGGAGAAAAACAACGTTGACTTCGAGTGGCGACATGATGAACAGCGCAGGTGAGACGTTTCACACACACTCTTGAGTTTTTATGAAGGTTTCGTCAAAATAAAAGTCTCCAATCGGCCGCAGACGGACGGTGGGAGGAGCTTCTCAGCTGCACGTCCTGCAAATGAATTATGGCTCAACATGAATCAAAAACACAACTACTTATACAAGTTTTTTTTATTGTTTGTATCCAGGAAATGCAAAATGTGGAAAAATTAGTTTAAAACAAATCATGTAGCTGTGGTGTGTTAATTTAATGAACCTGCCACACCCAGTCTACTATAAGGAATATTGCTGTAATTTGTGTGAACTGAGTAATTAACATACAAATTATTATTTTTATTTATTTATTCTTCCCACAGATCCCTTTTCGCTTCAGTGGCTGTTCATGACTAAATCTTAAACTGTGCCATAAAAACAGACTTTGTCATGCAGGGTCATTAATAAATTCAGAGACATGTAGGAGGTACTGGTTTATCTAACTGGGTCATGTCAAATGATTCCACTGTTCAAATGTGAAGCAGTGATTAATTATTGGAGCAATTTGTCAAAATAAATGTAACTGTCTCAAATAAATGCAACAGCACAGAGTTAAAGTTAAACTAACCTAACTTTATTATGTTGAAGTTACTAATGGTAAGGACTAGATTGTGTTTAACTTACTAAACAAAAAAGAGATCTATTACATTTCTCAGATTTTTTTATTATACTAAACCCAACTTGCTCCACTGAAGTCTGCATCAAACACACTAAACTTTATCTGACTTTATTTACACCGTCATGAATAGAAATGTTGCTGATTGTCTAAAATGCTAGTTGAAAAACGAAGCATCATTTTAAGAAAAACTCGGGAAGCATACAAAATTATTAAACCGTGCAAAATCGTCAACTAAACTGACGGTATTCAGTTTATTTCATGGCTGTTCGACTAAATACGGTAAATTCAAACGTCCTTATGTGCCACATTTTCACTGTGAAATTATTTTAAAGCCGAAGGCGTAACTGTTTGGATTATAAAACATGTTTTAGTCCAGTGTAGTAAAAGTTAGATCACAGTGATGCGCATTAGTAATTAAAACTGCGTCAGATGTTTATTAAGTGTTTAATTCATTCATTGAAACCGATTCATCTATTCTGTTAATCCGTAAAGATGTTTTCTGAAAAACAAGTTATAATCAAATCAAGCTAAAAGGGTCTTGAAAAATAAATAAAAGTTTTTTTTTAAACGGTGCTGAAACTCTCTGAAGAGTTGTTCTTTGTTCAGTTTTTTTAATGAGAACTGCGGAGGCGTTCTTTGCTTCTTTCTAAACGTGTCATTGAATCGTTTACCAACTTTCCTGACTTTGCTTCCGGGTACAGCAGAATGTCTCAGGATGTCTGGACAGGGTTTTTATTATGTGAGCTTCTGCGAAAATGCGTGCGAGTCGTACATTACAACTTTAATCTGCGTGAAGAAACTTGCCGGCCTCCGTGTTGCAGCTGAAACAGAAACCAAAGCTTCATGTTCGCCTTTTTAAAGAGAAGTTTTGTTGGGAAAAAATGCTGCAGCCCTTAGGGGTTGGTTTTGATTTCACGTGGTCAGGTTTTCTTCCAGGTCTCAAAAGATTTAAAAAAATAAAAATAAAATGAGATGTTTAATTCCTTTTTAGTAATTTTTGGTAATGCCTCGAGATTTATTGTTTTCCACTATAATTCATGGTGAACATGAGCGTCGACTGACAGCTAAAATTACTGAAAGAAGCTGAAACTGAGATTTTAAAGTTAAAAGATCAAAATACAAGCCAAACCATAAAATAAGCAGAACATTACCTAAAAGCTAAAATGAACAAACACAAGCTAAAAGTAGCAGATTGCTAGGTCACGGCTAAAAGTTGCAAACTGCTAATTGAAAGCTAATGTAGCAAAAGGCAAGCTAAAAGCTAAAAGTGTGATAAAATTTAGAATTTCAGAAGGATAGTTAATAACTAAAAGTAGCAGAAGGCTGACTAAAAGCCAAAAGTAGTGGAACATTAGCTAAAAGCAGCAAAAGCTAGCTAATATCTAACAGTAGCTAAAAGCTAAAATGAACAA